AATAGGCAACAAGATAAGATGCCCGATGAATGTTTTTCCTTGTCTTGGATAGTCCACACTGGCGCCTCTCATCATGTTACTAGTGATGACTCTTGTTTGATGGATGTGCACTCTATATCTCCATGCCCCGTAGGTCTTCCGGATGCTGCCATGCTATGGCTACAAAGGAGGGTCGAGTGTGTTTGGTGGATGATATTATTCTTGAAAATGTTTTATTTGTACCAAAATTAAATTGCAACTTAATATCGGTGTCAAAAATGATTGATGATTCACATTGTTTTGTCCGATTCACTGACTCTTTATGTGCTACATAGGACCAACACTCGGGGAGCCTGATTGGAGCCGGTGAACGGATAGATGGAATATACTACTTCCGGCGACTTCCTACAATATGTGCGGTGACGAATCCAGAGGTTTCTACATTTGAGTTGTGGCATCGTCGTATGGGACATCCGTCGGACAAAATTGTCAAGTTAGTGCCTGCTATTAGTGCTAGTTCTAGTAGTAAATTTTTGAATAAAGCTTGTGAAATTTGTCCTCAAGCTAAACAATCACGGGATAGTTTCCTTGATAGTAATAGTAGAGCTAGTCGTATTTTTGAAATGATACATTGTGATGTATGGGGTTCGTATAAGACACCTTCTACTTGTGGTGCTCACTATATTTTGACTATTGTTGATGACTATTCTAGAGGTGTTTGGGTTTATTTGTTGAACGACAAAACTGAAGTTTATTCCTTTTTTTTTGTTCTTTCTTTACTATGATAAAATGTCAATTTGGTGTCACTGTGAAATGTGTATGGAGTGATAATTGTACGGAGTTCAAACCCATACTACCCTATTTTAATGAACATGGCATTGTTTTTCAAACTTCTTGTGTTGGTACACCTCAACAAAATGGTCAGGAAGAGCGTAAACACCAACATATTCTAAATGTTAGTCGTGCTTTGATGTTCCAAGGCAATTTGCCAATTACTTTTTGGGGAGAATGTGTCCTTGGGGCGGTTTATTTGATTAATCGTACTCCATCCCGCTTGCTAGCTAATAAAACCGTACCCCATATGAAATTATTTTTGGCAAACAACTTAATTTTGATGAATTACGGGTGTTTGGGTGTCTCTGTTTTTCTCATAATCAAAATCTAAGGGTGACAAATTTTCTCCTCGAAGTCGAAATTGTGTGTTTGTGGGTTATCCTCATGGTAAAAAGGGTTGGAAGTTGTATAACTTAGAAAAGGGTGATATTTTTTGTCTCTCGTGATGTTATATTTCATGAAAATGAATTCCCATTTGTGACTAGTAGAGACTCGACACATTCTCATGTAAGTGTCGAAGGAGTATCTAATGTTGACGGTGGGATGACTTTGATTTCTTGGATGATCTTGAGCATGTGCTTGAGGTTGGTGAAACCTCTACTGAGTTGGGTTCACCGGACAGTAGTGACCGCACCTTGCTTGACACCCCTAGCTCGAGTCCTACGACTACCCCTACATCTGCTGCTACCCCACTTCTCAATGCTGCTGGCAGCCTGGTCCGCAATAATCCTGCGGCGACCAATGCTGACCGCAACTCACCTGCTGTATCTACAGTCGTTGCTACTGCTAGCGGTACGGGCAGCAACACAGGGGATGATCCGAGCTCTTCTACTCTTGATTTGGGACGTGGTCAACGTCCAAGGTATCCTCCGGGCTGGCACCGTGATTATGTGGCACATATTGTTTCTCTCCCCGGTCCATCAACGTTCATCGTCTACTCCATGCTCCTCGGGTACTCCCTATCCTTTAGCACATTTTGTGAATTGTGATGAATTTTCATTCTGTGCGACACCTTGTATTTATTGCAGCTTTCGACACGGTGGTTGAGCCACGTAATTTCAAGGAGGCTATGCAAGATGAAGGGTGGAGAAAGGCGATGCAAAACAAAATATCTGCCTTGGAAAATAATGGTACATAAGTGATGGAAAAATTACCTCTGGGTAAGAAAGCTCTTGGATGCCGATGGGGCGATGGGTTTATAAGGTCAAGCTTAACTCAGATGGCCGATTGAAAGATTGAAGGCTTGTCTCGTGATTTTTTGTAACCATCAGGTTGAGGGTATCGATTATAACGAGACATTTGCTCCCGTTGCTAAAATGGTTATTGTTCGTGCGGTTCTTGTTGTTGCTACTGCCAAAAATTGGGAATTACACCAAATGGATGTCCACAATGCTTTTCTACATGGTGATCTTGATGAGTAGGTTTATATGAAGCCTCCTCTCGGGTTTCATGGTTCTCAATCTGGCATGGTGTGCCGTCTTCAAAAATCTTTGTATGGACTACAGCAAGCACCTCGTTGTTGGTTTTCAAAATTGGCCACCTCTCCGAAAAGGTACGGATTTTCGCAATCGTACTCTGGTTACTCTCACTTAATCTGAATCATGGGGCTATTCATCTTAGTGTTCTGGTGTATGTTGATGATTTAATAATTTCAGTGAATGATTCTTCTACAATTTCAACATTCAAGTCATATTTGAGTGACTGTTTTCATATAAAAGATTTGAGTGTGTTAAAATACTTTCTTGGTATCAAGGTTGCTTGGAGCCCGGAAGGCATATTTTTATGTCAACAGAAATATACTCTTGATATTATTGCAGAGTTTGGTTTGCTAGCTAGGGGCACGTCCGGCAGGTACTCTTATTGAGTAAAAACTACTCTGGCTAAATCAGAGACTCCTCTTATTGCAGACCCCAAAATGTATCGACGTCTTGTACGTGGGTCCTTTGATTTATTTGTCTTTCACTAGAACCAATTTGGCTTATACATTTCTTATCTTGTCTCAATTTATGCAACAACCTCGACAAGACCAAATTGAGGCGGCACTTCGTACGGTTCGCTACTTGAAAGGATGTCCAGGTGAAGGAATCCTTTTGAGTTCAGATTGCAATTTACATTTGACAGGTTGGTGTGACTCGGATTGGGCTAGTTTCCCTTTGACGAGACGATCGATTTCAGGTTGGTTGGTGTTTCTTGGTGGTTCCCCTATTTTTGGAAGACTAAGAAGCAACATACTGTCTCTAAGTCTTTTGCAGAGGCAGAGTATTGTTCGATGTCTAAAATAACTGATGAGTTAAAATGGTCGAAGGCTCTACTCAACAGTTTGGGAGTTTCGCATCCGCTTGCGATGAGCTTGTTTTGTGATAGTCAATCAACGTTATATATTGCACAGAATCCGATCTTCCACGAACGCACTAAGCATATTGAGGTTGATTGTATTCAGGAAGGGGTTATTAGTTCGTCATATGTGAAGACAACGGATCAACTAGCGGATATTTTCACTAAGGCATTGAGCAAAAACCAATTCTTGTATTTACTTGGCAAGTTGGGCATTTGTGATTTGCATGCTCCAACTTGAGGGGGGGTGTTAAGCCTTATGTAGTGTTTAGCTTATGAGCCAATGTTATAAAGCCCTAATCTCTTTTAGGTCATATATATATATATATATATATATATATATATATATATATATATATATATATATATATATATATATATATATATATATATATGCTCATACTCTAATACAACTACGGAAAATTAATTTCTGACATGTGACGTACAGATTGAGTGCAATTGTTTTGAACAAGAATTTAGAAGTTTATACTGTACCAATGTTTCTCCAATTTTTAAGGCCAAGACATATAACAAATAAATTCCAATCCACACATTCTCTATATGCTCGTATTTCGAAAATATTTTCTTATATTTTTATTCCTTCCAAAACAACTTCAAATTACGAGTAATTTTATGATTTATTCTACCATTGTATATCATATACTCCATCTGTTCCAATATAACATTCCTGTTTGTTTTTTTTTCACAATATTTAAGAAATGGGAGGAGAAAGTGGATGAAATACATTAAAAGTGGTAAAAAGTTAGACAAAAGTTAGCCAAAAGTACAAGACAAGTGGATAATTTAAGGGAAATTTTGTCAACAACTACCTATTTAAGTCTCTGTTTTGAAAACAACTACCTTTAAAAAAAAATTAAAACAACTACCACAAACTTGTAAAAAGTTAGAGTAGCACTACCACTTTTAAAATTCCGGCATGAATCTCCGGTGAGTGGGGCCCACATTCGTCCTTTCCCTCCAATTTTTAACATAGTTTTATAGTTTTATATGCCCTAATTCCGGCAAGAACATCAAATCAAGTAATTTCATAGTTTTATATGCTAATTTGGGTTCGTTATTGGGGAAATTAGGGTTTCGCATTTTTTTTGCTTTTTTGGATAAATTGAACGGATTTATTCACATTAGGGTTTATTAATTGTATTTGCAAGGTATTTGCGAATTAAATCATGTCCAATTCATAATATACATAAATTTTAAAATTAGGGTTCAAGTCCAAGTCAAAAATTGGAGGAAAAGGACGAATGTAGGCCCCACTCACCAGAGATTCTTGCCGGAATTTTAAAAGTAGTAGTGCTACTTTAACTTTTTACAAGTTTGTGGTTGTTGTTTTAAAAAAAATTTAAAAGGTAGTTGTTTTCAAAACAGAGACTTAAATAGGTAGTTGTTGACAAAATTTCCTAATTTGGGAAAAAAGTGAAAAGTTCAATTATAGACAAAAGTTAGAGAGAGAAAGTGGAAAAAAGTACATGGCAAGTGGATAATTTAAGGGTGAATTAAGAAGTTCAACGAATAAAGTTAAAAAAATAAGGGTATAATGATCTTTACATAGTATCCAAAAATGAAAACAGGAACAATATTTTGAATGTCCAAAATAAGAAAACAAAAACTATAATATGGGACGGAGGGAGTAATATTAACTTTTGACACTAATTACATAATGCAATTCAGTTTAATCATTATTAATTACGACTATTAATATACACAATACTTCATAATTGTTATTGGTTGACAATTAACTAAATTATGGATCAAAATTATCCATTGATAACCAGAGGATGCACTAGTACAAACATGGATGATGTGGTGGGACCAATGAAATATAATTGCAAAATATCGTGCGTAGGCTTTGTTTGGAAGGACAATAAAGCCAAAACCTACACTTTTTATTTCCATGTATAAATCTTTTCAATCTAGCAAAAGCAAAACCCTCCCCAAATTAGTATTTACACACACATAAGCAAATTCATCCAAGTACTCAAAACTTTCTCACAATTACCCCAACTAGACCAAACACAAACACAAAATCTCACCTTTCCATTCCCTCTCATACCCTCCTTTTTTTAGTCCTAAACAACACTTCATTTATATATTTCCCCACAAAAACATATTAATGGATCAAGACCCATTCGCAGCAAGCCTATTCAAGTGGGATTACCCAAGGAGCACCCTTGCGGCCGCATCGGCCGCAGGTGCTCCTCAGCATAGCACGGCACAAGCGGCAACCTCGACTCTTCCGCCGTACTTTGCTCGAGGGCTGATAGGGACGAGGGAGCCTGTGGGGATCCCCGGAGTCGGAATGGGGATGGGAATGGGAATGGGGGTGGGTGTAGGAATGAGTATGCAGGGTTTTGCGATGGGAATTCCAGGAAGTGCTGCTGCTGCTAATGCAGGTGGATCAGGAGCAAGTTCAGGTTCTGGTGGATTGGAAGAGTTATTCCAAACGTACGGTATAAGGTAGTCATCGTAGTACTTGTACTAACTTTGTTCAAACCCCCTCCACAAATTATTATGCAAACACTGTATATATTTAAAAAAATAAATGAAATGGATAGGTTTTTATATCTAATTAATAAACTGTAATATATTAATATATGATAATTTCCTTACTAAATTTATAATGATGCATAATATTTTTTATGACCATATCATAACCTCTCAAAAATAAATCCAACTCTTGAAAAAAAAAAAAAAAAAAAAAAAAACTTATTTTAACGTTCATATATATTGGGAATATATATCTACTAGTATATGCATTCCTTTAAATAAATAAATAAAAAATAAAAATCTATATGCAAATTTGTGTTGGCCTGTTGGGTACTTTGTAAGAAGTAGTATTTTAATACAATAGTTCACAAGGAAAAAAAAATAATTTAAAAAAAAAAGAAAAAAGGGTCACAAATCAAAATTTTGTAAAATGATATTGTAAAGTCAAAATAATTTGGAGTAAAATTTTTATGAAGTATTAGCAATGATAATATATATATATATATATACTACTTATATGAAATTTGATCCTAATTTTAACATACACTACCTCAAGACTGTTTTAGCTAAGCTAGCTTAAATCAATTACTCTGTAATAAATGTGAGGAGGAGTAATATTGAAAATCAATGTATCCTTATGATATGAAGTAATCTATTTTCATACTTCCCTAAAGTATTGTTATTTATTATTTTTACTTTTTTTGTCCTAATGTTGGGGTGTTGGATGAATTATAAAGGTACTACACGGCGGCGAAAATAGCCGAGATGGGGTTCACGGTGAACACACTAGTGGACATGAAAGAGGAAGAAGTGGATGAGATGATGAACAGCCTTTCTCACCTCTTCCGTTGGGACCTTCTTGTTGGAGAGCGTTATGGTATCAAGGCCGCTATCCGTGCTGAGAGACGCCGTCTTGAGGACCTTGAGGAGTCTCGCCGCCATCGTCACAACCACATGAGCCTCTCCAACACGCCACCGCCCGACTCGTCCCACCACCCTCTTGATGCCCTCTCCCAAGAAGGTATGTACGTCCTATACAAAGATAAAATTAATTTGATCTTTATTATCCAATATTCAAGTCAATCATTATTCCATACCATAAATTCAACATCGCATGTTATGTTAGTATTTATCATCACAACATTATAGGTCATTGAATTCAATATCTTTTAATTTTACTACACCAATACATCTACAAGTACTCATAAAAATTGCCAATTCTTCATATATGCGTGAGGGAGTATCTTAACCTGCACAAGGGTATATCCTTAGTTCAACTCGTATTCTCTTGTATGGAGTATATATTATCAATGAAATTTCACGATTTCCATTAAAATAAAGGTATAACACAAACTAGTGTATATAACCTAATAACCTATACTATATATATCTTTGCTATTTTATGCATAATCCTAATATTTTCAGTAATTACAGCAGGGTACCATGTCAAGGGCTTAGGTTAGGGTATGAAAATAAAAGTGATCAAAATTTAGAATCTTTACAGCACAAAAATTGACACTTAATTACATTCTATTGACTACAGGACTCTCAGAGGAAGGAGTACATGAGAAAGAGGTAGTCGGAAGTGGCGGCGGAAACTGGGAAATGGTGGGAGCACCACCTACACACACAAATCAGGATCATCAACAAAGGAAGAAGCATAGGAAACAGCAACATCTCCAAGCAAGAAACACGGTCCAAAACATGATGACCTTAACAACTACTAATAGAAAATTAGTAGGGCAAGAAACTGGTAGGATGATTGGGAACCATCATAACAACAATAGTAACATCGATGATGACTTGGACGAGGAGGAGGTGGATGATGATGAGGATGGAGGAAGAGGTGGTGGCATTGGTGGCGTTACCGAAAGGCAAAGGGAGCACCCTTTCATTGTAACCGAGCCAGGAGAAGTAGCGCGAGGGAAGAAGAATGGATTGGATTATTTGTTCCATTTGTATGAGCAATGCCGTGATTTTTTGCATCAAGTTCAAACCATTGCTAAGGAACGTGGCGAAAAATGCCCTACTAAGGTAACCTTTCATTCTCTAAAATCTCTAATCAGTCATCATAACATTTGATAAGTTAAATTACATTGCATGTTTTTCTAATGCTTTTACATAATCCATTCTTATTTTATAGCTAACTTATTATTGGAATTTGCATGGTATTTGATGTTAAAATTGGTGAAATTCTAAATATGTGTGGGAGTATAATTCTTTCTATCTATGGAACCAACAAATTTTATTGATATGGGATTTGAAAGTGAGGGAATATTCCATTAGAAAAAAAGGCTAGATTATCAACATAAAGTTAATTGTTTGCCAAACTAGGTGTTTTACCCGGCTTTCCCAAAAAATAAAAGTACTTTCAATATGTACATTGGGTTGTCTTATCACAATCTTTTCTATCATCTTATTCCAAAAGTGTATGACAAATAATAACAAATTCTCTTTTGAAGCTAAGTATAAAACCAAAGTACAAATTAAACCTCTTCTTAAGTAATTATTGTGTGATGGTGCAAATAGTGGTAAAAACGCTATTAGTGCTACTTGTTACTTCGTATTAGGGTTAGAGTAATGAATACTCTCTTAAAAGAGTAAAAAGACAAGCGTAAGATTACTCTAAAGTCCGATAATAACTCACAAGCACTAAATTTTCATACATAAATAGCTAGTAGGTTTATAACACAAAACCTATACCCATTTATTTTAAAGAACCTGCCCAAAAAAAAAAAAAAAAGAAAGAAAATAAAAATAGTATCCATAATTCCATATTGTTTAGAGTACAAATAACAAGATTGGGGTAGAAAGGGAAATTTCAATGTTTGTTTTGTTTTAAGCAATGCAACAAAAATGTACTCGTAGTCCAAACGGCCGAAAAGGGGAGTGAGAATTATTTGAACTGGTATTGAAAGTAAAGATACAATTAAAAATTATTAAAAATAAATAAATAAATAAATAAATAACGATAAACCAGTAATAGGTCGACAGGTATCCTGCCAGAAGTACGAAAATTAATATGTTAAATAAAACTTTTAAGATTCAGTCAATTGTGGGGGGAACCAAGGAGAGGATGAAATTAATCAGAAGAGGTGTCAATGTATGCCTTTGACAACTCATTGTCATTGTTTCCCTGTACATTGTCCTTCGTCAAATGATAAAAAAAAAATGAAGATTTTATCAAAAAAGAGAGAAAAAAAAAAAGTTAAGAAAAATGCTAATGCATGATATTCTTGTTTTAATTATCATGTTATTATGAAGAAAATTATTTGTGAAGTAGAGAGCAAAGACCTAAGAGTGTCCATAAATTTTGTCGATGATCATAAAAAGGTTTGACTTAACATAAATTTTTATTTTTTATGAACACAATCTAACTTTTTAAGTCTTCTTGTTAATGAAAACGAGTCTTGTTTCGAAATTAATACCTTAAAGAATATAATACTATAAATTGTTAGACAAGCTAACCTAGCTATAAATCACTTGAATAAACCTTTGTTAAATCACGGTGTGTTAAGAGCTCAACTATACTCGCATACCCTCAATAGAGTAATGACAACAAGTCAACAAAAATATTATAACTTTTATTAACTTATAATAATAATACTTTGTAAATAAAGTATTAGGGATATATATACGGAGTACGGAGTAATACGGAGTACGTTTGTAATCTTTTAATGAAAAAAAATTGATCAAAGTATAATCAATCAACCTAAGAAAAAAACGGAGAGTTAGTAATACGTTTGTAATCTTTTACGAGAGAAAAGGGATCAAAGCATAATCAATCAACGTAAGGAAAAAAAACGGAGAGAGTAGGTGACAAAGACGATTAGAAACGCCAAGAATGTAAAAGAAGAGGAGAAAGATGTAAAAGTATGTCTCGTAAATACCAACAGAAGGAAAGCAGGGGATGATGAGTCAGGGGTATACAGGCTACAGTGCTAACGTCATTTCGTGGTTTTCTCCGTATATCCTTCCAAAAAACTGGCTTCTTCTTTATTCATCTTCTTTTATTACTTGAGTTGTACTACTACTTTCTCAGTTTCTCTTATCATTTCTCTTTGTCTTTACCTGCTCACTACTCTGATCTTGATCAATTTATCATTGCTTCCTTGAATCTTTACCTTAAAAGTACTGTGCTTTTCCTGTTTATCTCTTACAGTACACATCATTTTCAATAACAACCATAATAATAATAATAATAATAATAGTTAGATAACATGTGTTTTGTTATTTTTAATTCTTTAAAACATAATATTTAAATGTCTTGTTATTCTGAGTAAATTAACAATCCTAAAAATAAAACACAAACAAAACTCATATTGGTTCAAATTTATTATAAAATTGTTTAAAAAAAATTTCTAACGATATGAAATATTTTAAAACATGTACTAGATAAAATACGAAGTAACATTTTATAATTTCTTGTTACTACCGTCTTATACTTTTTTTATGCTCGTGTGGAAAATTTAAATTGATCCAATGAGCAAAAAAAATTCTTGATTAGCTGGTGTCTCAAGTGAAGATTGGCTACAAATCATATAATATTGATAGTATACGTAAAAATTGCTTATTCTTTAAACCTTTGTATGATACACTCATTGACGTATACAATATTACTTTTTCGCATTCCGAGTGCTCTTTGTTTGAAAAGGTGCTGAAATTTCTAATGTACCCAATTTAACAATTCTGTTACTGCATTGTTCTACTCTTGAGTAAAAAAAAGAGTAACCAAGGATAAATAACTCAAAAAAAATATAAAAACACAGGTAACCAACCAGGTATTCAGATTTGCGAAGAAAGCGGGAGCAACGTACATCAACAAACCCAAAATGAGGCACTATGTGCATTGCTACGCTCTCCACTGCCTAGATGAGGAGACATCCAACGCCCTGAGACGAGCTTTCAAGGAGAGAGGAGAAAACGTAGGTGCCTGGAGGCAGGCCTGTTACAAGCCCCTTGTTGCAATCGCTGCACGCCAAGAATGGGATATTGATGCCATCTTCAACTCCCACCCGCGCCTCTCCATTTGGTATGTCCCTACCAAGCTCCGCCAGCATTGTCATGCCGAGCGCAACTCTAGTAACACGAGCAACTCCATCTCTGCTGGTGCTGGGCCACACCATCTTCCTTTCTAGGTAGTCTTTTGTAGTTGTGCTATTTCTTGTAACTTTTGTGGAATCAGATCATGTATGGTTCAGAACTTGAAAATCCTTCTCACTCATTCTGCTGACTACTAAGGCTTATCGATTTATCTCCCTGAAATTTGCTTAATCCTGCCGGTTTACATGAATGGTAAAGTTTTTCATAAAATCATGGGAGGCATATTTTTGTTAAAAGAGACCCAAGTAACAAATGAGATGCTCTAGATGTAAAATTCATAGAAGTTGTAATTTCAGCTGCTAAGAGTATGTCGCCGAGATCAATTTGAATGCAAATATATCCAAATTGTCTAATTTAGAACAAGAAATCAAACATACAGTGTGACAAAATGACAAATTATCTAAAGGGAAAATGGCTGTCAGCACATCTGGTATCATGATCGTGTACAATTAAATAGCATAATTTTCAATCCTCGCCTCTGTAAACAACTCTTTCTTCAGAAGCTCTTCTTACTCATCAGCGGATGCAGATGAATGAGATGGATATCTCCATTGCACATCTGCCCAGGTGCTCTGACCATCAGTCACCTCTTTAATAACTGATGAGACCTCATTAACATTGACCCGAATCTGTTGCTTGCTGTCTCTTTCCCGAACTGTGACAGAGTTTTCTGAATCAACAGTAATTGCAAAGGGTACCCCAAGTTCATCAGTCCTTGCATAACGCTTGCCTATCGATGTACCTGCAAAAGTCATGTTGGTGGTTGGTAAGCTACTGAATGCTGATACTTTTTAATCTTTACATGCCAAAATGGGGAAGACAAAATCTAAGGATGCAACTTCTATGAGCCCTGCCTATCTGGTGAGATTTTCATAAAACAGGCAAAGCAAAGAAAAGATTTTCCACCTCTCAACCAAGATATACATAAATGTCAAGGACAATTCTTAAAATTGTAAAACAAAAGGTAGTATTAGCTTCCCATGATATAGAGTTTCCCATAGAAAACTAAATCCCATATTCCCATGTGATCCAAACAAGCACTATGATCGCAAAACCTCCTGGAATCCAGCTTTTGGGAAGTTAACTAATATAAGCAAGAAGCACCTCTGAAAAACACACAGATAAACTCTCTCTCTTTTGGGCAGTAATTTCATAGAGTTTCAATTGTTCAAACCGAAATTGTCCCAATTATTTAGTACTCTGTTTAACAAAAACACCAAACCTCGTCCAATTAAACGTGTCAACCCTAAATCACATTTCACTCAAAAAGTCAAATGTTACTAGCTATTCAGAGATACAATGAAAGATTTGCCCATTTCCCCTAGTAATGGCTTCAAGTCTCTAATAGTCTACTCTGCCTAATCAAATAGCTTACAACTATTATATAATCCCAAGAATAAGAAATCAAACGTGCATTGACAACCACAACACGGTCGGTAACCAAGCACCATTTCCGTTACCAAGACATGAACCAAAATTGTGATTTTGACCTCTTCTTTCAGGTTTCACCTGTCACTTCTTTCTTTCCTCCCCAAACCATTTTCCATCACTAAAGCTTCACCTTCAGCAACAATTCTTACAAAACTTCAAAATCCACTTCATAATTAGACCATAGGCTCCGGCATCCTCAAATTCTATCCAAACTATTTTCCCTACATATTGAAAAACCTGGCTCATCTGATTGAACTCATTTCCTTAGCTAGTAAGAAATTAAGAATTGACCTGAACTTGTTAATCAATATCTACGATAAAGCTCTATAATTACCAGCAATACAGTGATTGATTATGTAAGCCCCGAAATAAATATTAAAAAATTAATTAAAAAAAAAAAAAACACTTCATTGAATTAACAAATACAAATAAAATAATTCTGAAACTTTCAAGCTCTCATCCTCCTCTATCTTTGCTTTTGTTTTGGGTCTCAACAAACCACCATCATAACTCCATTTCTACAACCCTTATCCACCACCACCATAGTTATAATAGAACCAGCAAACCAACGCCTTAATCTCCCTCTCGATACCTCAATTTTCTTGATTTATCGGAATTGAAATGTTAGCTAAGGAGGTTTAACAAAAAGCATGTCCTTTTTACTGCTGCCTTGTAGTTTTCAGGTAAAGTAGTCATGCTTTCTTCCCCACTCTTTTTTATCATCTCCCCCAATTATCCTCGTTGAGATTATATTAAAAGACAACATTTCATAAAATTGGGTGGGGGAAAGGGGGAGGGGGGGGGGTGATGTAACGGTATGACATGGGCGGAAAGAAAATAAGAAAGAATAAAAAAGAGGATTTTTTTAAAATGTCAAAAGGCTTGAATCTTGACCTTTTTGGCAACAAAATCGGTAATTAGGTGCTACCAACCAAGGAAGTGGCCTTATAAGGTTCTAGAAAAGGGGGGGGGGGATCTTTATGATACAATCCCACAAAAGTGCTTAAGGAATTATTAGAAAAAAAAAGGTACTTATATTTACTTAAAATCCACTTTCCTTTCAACCGACAACCAGATTTTAGAGTTTGAACATTTTATGACAGCAAGGAGGACTGATTGCTCAAAACATCTTGGAGATATATACAAGTTAAAAGAGCTTCAGTGAATAATATAAGCACAAACAGTGATTCATGTCATTATTCCTTCTCCAAATAGAAAGAAATTAACTTTGAAATCTATTTTTGGCCAAAGATTTTCAATGTAGGATGATAAGAGTACCTGTGGTGTCAATTTTATGCGAGATACCAGCCGCAGCCAATGACTTAACAATTTGTGCAGCGACTTCCTCATACTGCTGATTTTGAACCAGGGGAAACACAGTGCATTTGATTGGAGCCACAAGTGGAGGGAAACGGAAGACATTCAATTGCTCATCCCCACCTTTGCTTTGCCTGGTATAGAAAGAATGCTCATATAAACAGTAAATAATTCGCCCAATGCCGAAAGATGGTTCAATAACTGATGGCGTAAAAACCCTCTGATGTTCCTTCTTCTTCTCCTTCTTGATAGTTACCATTTTGTTTGTTATTGTCACATTCTTCCCAAGAGTGCAAACATTGAAATCCACTTCACCCTTAGACTCCAAGTTGGCCTTCATTTCCATAGCTTCTTTTTCATCCATGGCCTGCATGATTCGAACCAGAGCAAATTTAAATATAAAATAGCATTCCACCATAGTGAAGTAACCAGTTACAGTCTCAATGTAGAGCAGTATGAAGGAATATATTTTTAACTATTACCTCCAATGCTTCAACCACCATCTTTTGATTACCCTTGAATGCAAGGCCAAGTTCCTTTTTCACTGGAGTGATAATAATTTTCTGAAAGAATATCATATACGTACATCAACACCGTTGGCCATTACCATACACTGAACAAACAGACCTGAAATAAGAAGAAAAATCTATAGAAAGAGAGGAAAGTGGTAATACCTCTACTTCTTTTGGTTCTGCATATTTCTCATGAGCCACAAGAGCTACACCACTTTTGTCCTAAACAAATTTATAGAACTTGTTAGTTCATGGACTTCACTGATAACCCTTTTTCCAAGTAAATGTACAAAAATGTTTTAAGATTACATCAAAAGAAAAGGATATATTAGCTGCATAAAATCAACATATGATTTGCTAGCAAAACCTTACCGTGTGAGCACGCAAATCATATGCAGATCTATCAGCAATGCCAACACACTCAATCCAGCCATATGAGCATTCAATCTCAGCATCCCAACAATCAGCAGCATAATGAGCCATCTCATTTGCAAGATGCTGACGGAACCGCAATCGTTCTTTGTCAATTCCAAGGCTGGTGAGGAAAATGTAAACTCTCCCGATGAAATAACCCAAAGTTTCATTGTTGATAGTGCCCTGTATAACAACGAACATAACACATCAGCAAGATTTATAATGAAGTTACTCAGAGTGCACTCAGGAATCATAAATGCGTAAACACATCAGAAGATGAACATAAACTAACCTTGCTAACTGCTTCACCAAGGACCATCTTCTTTGCAGATTGCCCAGATACCTGCAGCTCCCTTGGAAACATCAAAAACTCCAAATTTGCAACTTCAGGAAATTTTCGATGAGACTTATCTTGGGGATCCACAAAATGTTCAATTTCTGCCAGCGTAAACTCACGAACCCTAAGAAGACCTTGTCTTGGAGAGATCTGAAACACAAAATTATGACAATAAGATATTATGATTTCGGAGAAACAGGATAATAATGAAGTGAAAATTTTTCCTATCTCATTCCTCATGCCTGCGATTTACCCTTTCCCTGTCTGTTACTCTGTTTTCTCCATCGATTCCAATTTTATTAATATCAAGAACACTACTAGTAAAACAAAATGACCTAATACACAGGATGAAGTGCTGGAAGAATTGCATTTACCACAACTATATGTGCTTAACAGTTGATATAATTGTGATATATGCCTCTAAGCCAAAACCCAAATGAGCAATCCATATGTTCATTAAGTTAAGAAACAATTGAAAATCCACACTACACACAATCAAGTAATACAAGCCCACCATAGCGCATAGACTTTTAATAATTTGATCGGCCCGATATGCAAGGTTTTATATAAGCATTCAACACACACTGACCCAAACTGAATCTACCTGACTTTAAATCAATATGGTAAGACAGGTCAATTAGCAACTTAAATTCACAGAGAGACAATGAAAATTACAGACCTCATTTCTAAAGGCTTGACCAATTTGGGCAGCAGCAAAAGGAAGCTTATTGCCATTGTAATAGTACAGGTCCTTGAAGTTCACAAAAATACCTTGGGCTGTCTCTGGTCGCATAAACCTACAAGTAAAGGCACAAAAGGCAAAATTACTAAAAAATAAATAAATAAATAAGGTCATTGATTCATCAGAGGAAGGGGCAGACAAAATCAGCCAACATATTTTTTAAGAAATTGACAAACAAACCTACCCAGGGCTCACGCCGGAAGGACCTATTGAGGTCTGAAACATCAAATTAAATGGATATGGATCAGAGAGAGGATTTTTGGTATCAGGAGCAGTTATACCATACTCCTTTATCTTTGAGCCCATCTCTTCAGAAGAAAAATCATCCAGCATAGCCAATACATGCTTGAGTTCTGCTACTTTTTCTGCAGACAAACTGAGGTCCTTCTCGAGTGTCTCCTTGCAGAAATCCTTGATCAAATGGTCTGCACGGTAACATGTGCCGGTCTTTTCATCCTTAACCATAAGGTCAGTAAACTTATCCACGTGTCCTGAGGCCTTTAGCACAACTTCTGGCGTCACACATGGGCAATCAACCTCCAACATGTTTTCTTGCATGACAAAATGCTGGCAGTGCAAAATATTAGAAGATTCAGTTCTATAATACATGCCAGTTTGAAGTATTAGGCGTAAGAATCATAATCCTCAATAAGCTACACAGTGGTATGAAAAGCAGGTAAAAGAAATTGGTATTAACAACAGTGAGAACAGAAGAAATATGATATCTACTCTAGTTTTCTCATAGCACAGCTCATTGGGGTATCATTTGGGTATTGGTGTCCCCACCCATTTCCCTAGAAAATGTTTAAAAGAAATCAAAAATCCTCAGTAACTCGATACTAAGATAAGCATATAAGTCAAAACTATCCAATTTCTCAAAAGGTTTCTCACACTCGACAAGGGTGTCAGACATAAAATTTCTTATTCCTGTAACTAAACCTAAGAGTCAATGTTGGTATAATAGGTAAAAGTAGTACATGCACAACAAAAATTATATGCTTTGAGCAATGAAAGTGCAAGAACTAAATCTCCTACAGGAACCACCATGATTACACAAACCCAACAAGGCATTACAGATTACAGACTTCAAAGCAAGGTTATAAAATAATAATGAGTTTGGCAAACATTTCACACAAAATCCTTACTAAATTTGAGTAAATCCTAGAAATTGTGCGCAATTCTTTCCCAAATTCCAATTTTAAATCTACCAACCAGACTCAAAAAATAAACCAAGTGTACATATCGACCAAACCTCCCTGATCAGCTAACAGCGCACGTCACAGTTAGGCATAAATTACATATGTCATGAAGAACATGATCGGGAGCTTCTTCACTTTCCATTTCCATAGCAGACAGCCATGCAAATGAGACCAAAAAATTAATGCAAAGCCAGTGAACAAAATGCAACGAACACTTCAAATTTATGAAAACTTTCAATGCTTGGTAAGAAATTGGAATTGAAATGCGACTAACTCATTTGAATTCCCACAAGTATAAAATGCATGTACCAGGAATTGAAATGCAACTAACAAATTGATGATAGAATAGAAAGTCAATGGCAATCTCAAAAACAAATTAATGTTCCATATTGAATTAGGGTATTCTTTGCCAAACTCAGTAAACCATTAAACATCAAAACATAAAAATGTTCAAAATTCAATCTCAAATCCCACATAGAACCCCAACAACTTCATTCATAACCAAATCACAATCCCAAACCAATCAAAACCAATTCATCACAACTAATTACACAATTCACATCCAATTCAAACATTAAAAAGTTCAAAATTCAATCTCAAATCCCACATAAAAACCCAACACAACTTCACTCATAACCAACTCACAATCCAAAACCAATCAAAACCTATTCATCGCAATTAATTACACAATTCACTTCCAATTCAAACACAAAAATGTTTAAACTTCAATCTCAAATCCCACATAAAAACCCAACCCTACTTCAATCATAACCAAATCACAATCCCAAACCAATCATAACCAAATCACAATCCCAAACCAATCAAAACCAAATCATCGCAATTAATTACACAATTCACTTCCAATTCAAAAACATTACAAAATCGAGAAATAAAATTTATTGATACCTGACGCCAAAAGGCAAGAACATTCTGTTTAACAGCACAACCAGGAGGACCATAATCATACAACCCAGCAACACCACCATAGATCTTAAACGAAGGAACATAAAACAACTTCCTCTCAAGCGTATTAATCACGCCTTGACGAAACGCCTCTTTACTCTCACCACCATTACTCTTAACAATTTCCTGAAGCTCCTCTTCAATCGCAGCCTTCTCCAATTTCAAACCCTTCAAACCTTCAACGGCGGCGTTAACGGCGGCCTTATCGGCGGCGGCGGAACCCTTGAGCTCCCTCACAGTGTTTGCTTGAGCATCGACGGCGGCTTGCTTGTCAGCTAGGGCTTTTCGAAGGGAGATTTCAGTGGAATCCATTAATGGAGGTTTTGGTGTGAAATGGCGGAGGAGAGAGAAAGCGGTTAGGGGTTTGGAGGAGAGAGAAAGTTGTGAAAGGGGTTTAATGGAGAAAGAGTGTGGTTTTGTTAGTGGATGAAGTAGTGAGCCCACTCTTCTGGAAATGTTCTCTAGTATCATACGATGATACATGAAAAAACATAAAAACAGCTTTACGGAATAATTGTGATGTCAATGGGGGGTTTAACCTAAACCTTCCACTTCCCGTAACGGGGCGTTTGGTTGGAGGGATGGAAATAAGAGGAATAAAAAACGAGGATAAAGATAGGGAATTGATAGGTGGGACAAGGATAATCACTAGTAGAAAAAATGTCATTACAGCGCACTATTTGCAGCAAACCTATGAACAGAACGCTGCTAATAATGATTGATCAACGCGGGTCAACCTTTTAATGAATTAATAGCAACGATTTTTTGCTAAAGAACGCTACTTTTTTTATAAAATTATTTGCAGCGCTCTCAAGTGAAGCACGTTGCAAATAAGAAGTTTATTGCAGCGTTCCCTACTTTAGAGCGCTACAAATAAATTTATTTGCAGCATTCCCTACTTCAGGGCGCTACAAAAAGTTGAATAAAAAGAACAAATTGAAAATAACCTATATGCCGCCCCTTACAGAAAACCCTAACCTAAGAAAAACCTAGAGAAAAGATTGAAGCTCTCGCCAAGGCTCACTTCACGGCGCACCACTCTTCGGCGACTTTCAATTCAGAAATGAGAGATCTTCTTCCTCCTCCGGTCCGCCGCCGTCGCAGCAATGTGTTAAAATGAGCGCAGCACTCTCTGGCGACAAAATCAGAAAGGTAATTTTCACCACTTTAATTTTGTTGTTGTTAATTTATGTTGTAGTTTTTGGGAAATTTAGTATTGTTACGTTAAGAAGATTTTGGATCTAAATCTATGGTTGGTTAGTTTATTAATTCTAGGGTTTACGTGTTCGAATTGAAATAATTGATTAGGGATTTCTAATCGAGTAAGTTTCGACCTTTTTTTAGATTTAATGTATTTGTTTTCGACCTGTTAATGGATTCAATTGATTTTCTTTCTCTTCTTCTAGTGTATTCAGGTCAGAAGCCGCTGGTTCACCTCTGCTTTCTCCTAAAGACAGGCTTGAGAAGTTTGTAATCAAGGTGGTATTGGTGGTGGTGGAGCATTTTTAATTAAGACTGGAACTAAGCTTTACATCTCTAATATGGATTACGGTGTTTCTAATGACGATATTACCACTCGTTCGGTTTCTTTCCCTTGTGCTGAAAAAAATATGGAAATTCACGATTAAAGTCTCTATAATAGGGTTCTTGATTTCCCCCTTTTTAATTTGATTAATTCAGTATTTTAACACAATTCGGTTTTATTTTGGTTTTTAGGAGTTAAGTTGTGTTTCCAAGGAGCATTTGGACTTGGTAATTGGTATGCCTCTCCTCTTCTTATGATTTCAATGGAGGGTAATTTAGTTTCTCTTTCGCAAAATTCCTCAATTTCCCCCCTCTTTTACGCTAATTTTTTAATTAATTTATTGGTGTTGGGATGAATCAGAAAATGTGCTGCAGTTGCTAGTGCAGATTACTGTGTGATTGTTGCTGATACTCTATGTCAACTGGCTGCAACATTCTCATTCGCGATAACTCTTCTTTTTTTTTTTTCCTTTTCTGAATTTGGGTTTTGATTTGGTTGATTGGAGAACATGAATTGGTTTTGTTGATTGGTATGGTGGAAAATGTGATAGATTAGTATAATTAGTTGTTTGATGATTAAGGTTTAGTATGATGTGGACAAGTCTTGTACTGTGAAATTGAAGAAATTGATTAGGGGTTGGCCATCTTGCTTAAGGAATGAAAAAAAAGACTTGAAAGTGTTATATTTGTTTCATTTATTGGAATTACTCTAGACCCTTATAAGTTAAATGGTTTGTTTGTTTGTTTATGATGAATTATGTATTTAATAGATGACTATAGTTCTCATTTTGATTGTTCGTCGTCACGGTAAGCTTTCAGCTCAGTGAGTTGTTTAGAGAATTAGTCAAGTTTCACTTGTTTGCTGCTATTGGCGTTTTTATGAGATGGGATGCGCATTCATGAACAATGTATTTGGTTAGTAATCATAATAGATGAGGGTCCTCTTCTATTGAAACTATGAAGTGTATACTATCTTTTGCAACTTGTCATCAAACTGAGTATTTCTGTTTAATGGCATGAATCTACGAAGTATATACTGACACTCGATTTTTTGCTAAATTTGCTAAATCTGTAGCTAAATTACTGAATCTGCAAACCCTGTACACTGAATCCGTTGCTGAATTTCTCATCCTTGGCTCGGGTAAAGGTTTCTTATTCTAATCTGTGCTTCGATGAATTTACCCTTTCTAATTTGCCTCATTTTTCTCTGTTTTAATTTTAATTGTGAATTTCAATCGATTTTATCAACACATCTCTTTTACTAAATTTTGCTACTAGATATATTTTTATTGTTAAATCTTAGTTCTCAAATTGCTAGTTCTCTTGGGTTGTGGCCTCATGTGTTTGAGTCATAAGGTGTTGAATGAAAGTTGGGTATCTCCTACTACTTTAAACAAGTATAAAGAGTTCTTTGCAACTTGTTTCTTGTATTGGAGTCTGAGATTTGGAGCAAAGTCCCTTTTTTATTACTATGTCCTAGTCCTTGGTATGAAGGTACTCGTTTCTTGTATTGGAGTCTGACCTTTGCATATTTGAAAGGCTTATGTTGTATTAATATGCAGTTTGTTCTGAAGTTTTTATAGATACATAAATTTATATAGATACGCAGAATAGTATGAAGGTACTCGTGGCGTCGTTAATTTTTTTTCCTTTCGTATCTTGGGCCCAGTATCCATATAGGGTGGTATTTTATGTTCTTTTCAAGGCTTTGTTCAATTTGAACATGTAGTGAGTTTGGAGGCAAGTTCTAAGGCTCTTCTTTCTTGAGTTAATAAATTTATGTTGGACAACACAGTATGACTGAAAACTATGCTGGAGATTTGTCTGCTTAAGACTAATATCTTTGCAGATCTCTCTTTCTTTCTTAAGCCCACAACAAATTTATGGGTTCATTTCTTTATTTCTTTGAAGATGGTCCACCTGTTCAGCACTTACGTTGTATTTTAATTTTGAACAAGTTTTCATATATCCTCTTTGGTTTGAGATCCTTATGCTTAGTTTAGAAAATCATGTAATGTTCTTGGCTGTAGATTCTAATAATGAAACACGTGGTTGTAGGTTCGAAGGTGTTTGGAACAGATTTGTGGTGACTATGATGATCAGATTTGCCCAATTTGTGGAGGTGTTGAAACGACAATGCACAAATTGCACTTGCTGCTGATGTGGCCATCTATGATCTCAATGTGGAATCACTCTTGAGGCTTGATACGAGTTTAGGTGGGGGAAGGGACTTAAATAGCTGGTGTTCAGATATGAAGGGAAGGATCAAGGACAAAAAATGGTTTAATGGTTTTCATTTTTAGTTAGAGTATCCCTATGATTGGGGTTGTTTCATTATTTGTAATGACCTTGATTTTTTGCCGTTTGATTAAATCATCAAAATTATTTCTATTTGTTTTGTGTTATTTTTTTTTTCTGTTTTGATTGAGTAGGAATATAATATAGTACTCACAACGCAAAAAAAAAAAAAAAAAAAATAAAATAAAGTAAAATAAAATTTGCAGCGCGCCTTGGTAGAGTGCACTGCAAATATAATTGGACTATTTGCAGTGTGCCTAGCTAGGGTGTGCTGCAAATAGTCCAATTATTAGCAAAATATTTAGACTATTTGCGGCGCACCTAGCTTGTGTGCGCTGCAAATAATCCAACTTTTTTTGCAGCGCACAAGGTTAGGCACGCTGCAAATAATCGTTTTTTGCAGCGTTTTATGCGCTTCAAATAATCTCTTGTAATTGCATCGCCCACATATGCAACGCACGAAAACACTGCAAAAGGGGGGGGGGGGAATTTGGGCGCGCTACAAATAGCGTTTTTTCCACTAGTGAATAATTTTTATCCCATATTTGATAAGTATGACAACCAAATTAGGGATAAGTAATAAATTTATAAAAATACATTTACTAACTTTTACCTTTTCTCCTTACCCTTTCAAATTCATTAAGGGTAATTTGGTCTTTTAATACCCATTTATTTCCCTTCCTCTTATACCACCCCTCTAAGTTACAGATAAGGAGGGATAAGTGGGTGTTTTTATCCCTGTCCCTAACCCCCTTTTAATCCACATCTTTCTGAACAAACACTACATTTCTTCTATCCCTATTTTTTTTATCCTTGTCCCACCCCTTTTATCCCCCTAAACAAACACCCTCTCAATGTAGCTCTCGTTCGCAAGACTTATTGCGTAAGGGAGCCCGGTTAATCATCCTAATAAACAAAAGGAAAAATACACTTTAATAATCCCAACTATTATCGATTTACTTCTAATAATCCCAGTTAAGGTTTATTTTTTAATAATCCTAACAATGCCCTATGTTTGCCTCCAGTGGTCCTAAAAACCGGTTACCTGTTGAAAGGGTAATATTTTTTTTTAATTTTTAAAACGCCACATGTCAACACATGATTGGCCTAAAAAACAAAAAAAAAATCAGAAAATCAATCAGCCAACCCAACCCACATGGCACCGTGAAACCCCAGCCAACCCACACAACCAACCGGCCACTGGCCGACCACCTCCTTAAACCCCCGAAAATGGCCGGTCGGCCCTCCCAACCCCCAAAACTCACAGTAGCCGATCCACCCAAACCATCTAAACCACTCTTCTCCCTTCCCTCCCCCTTCACCGAAAAACCAAAACCAAAAAAAAAAAAAAAATCAACGCCGCTCCTCCTCCCTTCCCACACCCTCGAAACCGCCCAGGGAGCCCAATTCGGGGCTTGGGGAAGGGAGGAGGGTCGTTTTCGACGGTGGGGGAGGTTGATTTCGAGGAGGATGGGTGGTTTGGGTGTGAGAGTGGGCCAGATAGGGTGTGTTTTGGGGTTGGGAGTCGTTGGCCGGCCGTTTTCAAGGGGTTAAGCGAGACGGACGGCCGTTTTCTGACAGGCTGGGGGTTGGCCCTGGCGTTTTGCGATGGCGTAAGGGGAAGGGGTGGTGACTATTAGGGTTTTAGTTTTTTTTTTTTTAATTTAGACCAATTACGTGCTAACACGTGTATTGGTTACCTGTTACAACAAGTCATTGGCTTGGTGTTGACCGGTTGGGACCATTGGAGGCAAACTAAGGGTATAGTTAGTATTATATAAAAATAATCCTTAGTTGAGATTATTAGAAGTAAATCGACAATAGTTGAGATTATTAAAGTGTATTTTTCCTAAACAAAAAAAAAGTTTATTTAGTAGAATTTCTATAAATAAATTAGCAACATATTTCAGTCGACATGGCATTTTCGTAGACAAATCAACATTTGTGAGATCCGTATTTAATTAAAGTTGTTGACTTAATTATGGAAATGACACTAGATGAACACTTTTTTGTTCATCGTGAAAATAAACTTGTATTTTCTCTTATTGCATCGCCCTCGATTGTCATCTACAACAACTTGCATCTCAACTGCAAAGACTTATTTACATCTATCAAACAGCGTTCGTTATAATCATCGTTCTCTCAACATCATCTACACTTTTTTAAGCATCCCATAAATAAAAGAAATAAACATGTGTACAAACGCCCCTGCCCAAGAGTGCTCTTTCGCTCAAAAGCCTTTTAGAGAGTTTTTGTTTCTTTGTGTAAGGTAAATGAAGAGTCCAAGCCTAAATGCTATGGATTTGTGACTTTAATTTGCTAACATAAGAAGCAGGTTGTTTGTGCACTCATAAACTATCTACAAATTAGTTTAGAGAGCCATTGTATTTGTAAATTACCTGCTAATATATGTAAAACAAATATATATAATTGATGTTACGTCCTGTGATTCTAATGTCCTGTTATTCTCCGTGTGTTGAAGATGTATTATGTTATTATATAATATGGATTTGACAGTTTGTCAAAATTTGACTTTGCATTATGTTGTTGTTGTTCTAATCCTTTGTCTCAGTTTGATCTTGCATCTTTTCTTTTTGTTTGCTTCTAAACATTCCTTACTCTCCATATGTGTAATTAACCCACATCATGTTGCCATACTTCCAAAGCAAATATTTCTTGGTTTGTTGTTTTAGGGTTTAGATGCCTGCACGGTTGTGCACATGGGACCATATGTGTATGGAGAATGAGATTGGATTTGACTATAATAATCAAAACGAGCAAGGAGCAACCAACAAGTTTTAGAAACTTGTAAATCGTTAATGAATTTCACGAATGAGACAAATCGAAGGCAAACACAAAAAAAGGATACCTTGATTCATTAAGGTTACACCCCTTCAATGATCCAACAAATCGTTGACTCATATATGGTCTAGAGCAATTGAAATTTAGGTATTATGGTAAGAACTTAGGTAGGAGTTAATTTTCACCCATATTGACCTCTACTCGATTCTATTATTGACATGTGGGAATTTCACTTTTTGAATAACATGCACATCCTACTTTAAACCCTGGAACTATGACAATGTTGCCTTGAGCTATCACACATATAGAAAATAGTTTTGGTGACCACTTAGAATAAGATTGATTGAAAATTGATCCTAATTAGTTGTCATATTTACCTTAGGTAATCTAAGAGTTCATTTACAACCTAATTAGAAATAATTTAATGGTATGGTGATGAAAATTAATAAATATAAAAGCAAACATATAATTACATGCAACAATCATACAATTATACATAAAAGCAATTAAGTTTGAATATCTACTATACATTGAAAAATTTTTAGTAATAATCACTAAAAAAAAATTAAAAATGAGAAGATTTGATTTTCAAAATAGAATTAATTAATCAAAAGTACCCTTACAATTGTACCTTTATTGTCTTTTTTATTAATCAATTTGAACTTAGGGTAGACATTGCAATTCCTAGCCTAGAGATTGATGGATTTAACTCCAATTTGACTTGAAAAATACTTGAATTAATTGAAGAGAGAGTTTTGTACTTTTGTGGAGGGATTAAGACTCGGAATTTCAACATTTAAGAGTTGTATTGCATATTTTTCCGTGGCTAGAAATCTTGAAATCAAGTAAATAAAGGTCATTTAAATGGGTGAGGCTATAGAATTTATTAGGATTTTCACATAACCACCAAGGGTGTACATTAGTTTTAGCGCGTTATCTCATTTTTAGTGCCAACAATGTAATTTAATAAATTCCATGAGTGCTTTGGGTTTTTGCACAGGGTGAGCATATAAAAGCCTAAAGTTAATTTACATATGAGGTGTATTCCAACTAGGACTCTAATTTAAGTTCTTGGAAGGGTTTTGGGCTATAGGACAAGTAACTAAGGTGTGAAGGCCTAGATGCCTAATAAGGTATTCTATGCGCGTCAATATGGGTTTAGACTAGATTTGAATTATTTATTGAGCTTTTTTTTTTTTACGAAAATAAGAATTTTATTTCCTTTATTAATCAGAATCCAAATTATCCTTAATTACAATCTCCATCACATCTGAAGTAGCTTCTTCCAACTAGACATTAAGCATACTAAGGCCCCATTCACTTCTTCTTAATTTTGCTGAACTGAAATTATTTTTACTGATTAAAACTGAATTTTACTGAACTTATTTTTACTGAACTGAAATTATTTTTACTGAATTGAAATTATTTATACTGAATTGAACTTACTTTTACTGAACTGAACTGAACTTATTTTTACTGATTTTAAATATCATTTCTATATATATATATTAGGTAAAATAATCTATTTTTGTAATTTATATAGTTGGCATATATAACGATAATGTATTATGCCAACCATATAAATTTACATAATATCGTATATAAAAATGGTTGGCCTATAACGATAATGTAATGGACAATAAGAGTTTTGCAAAGCAAGAATTGTCTGTATATAATAATATCCATGATCTAAAAATGCTTTAGATGGAACTTGGAGCCTTAATAAATAGGTAGGGAAGTAATTTGAGTGCGTACATTTATATATTTTCCATCAATCTTTGGAGTTTGGACCCATGATGAACTATAATAAAAGATTATTAGATTTGGATAGTCATTGTATATCGCTTATGTATAAAGACATTATTAGGAAAATTATGGGAATGTGTATTTGATATATATGATATATTACATATACTTGTATATGATATTAGGTTTAGGGATAATAGTTTCGAAAGCAGCGAGTTGGAGTTAATGATCTCAAACCCAAAGACTAGCACAATTTATGGCATGCATGAAAAAAATCTGGTTAATTAAATTTTTTTCGTTTGAATTGTCAGTCAATTTTTTTTTACTACGTATACGTTGGTTAACTACGTGGAATTTACAAATAATTATAGCAAATATTGGTAGTTTGATTGATCATATCAAGGCATGTGATATTTAAGCAAAAAAAATATAATGACATATTGGTAGTATTGTATAGATCATGTATATATAATCATATATGAATATCATATTTCAATATCTTATTGAATTTATTGTAAATGATTAGGTATCCTATTACGATGAAT